GTTGAACTGCGATCGTACCATGGCTAAGCCTTCGCCTCTCGCTCTTCGCTTCCACTTGGATCGGCGACAGGGCCTGATCCTGCTGGCCGCTACGGCCGCAAGCTTCTGTCAATTCAGCTGCTTCGCAGCCCCTCTTGGGAGTGCGCGGCCTTCCCAGCTGAGCTAGTATTCGAACTCGGGCTTCGAGCTTTGTGAGTATTCCCTGAGGTGAACATTACGCTATGCTGCTCTGGCGAATTGTTTCTTTCACGTTGCGGTAGTTGGCCGAGGCCGATGTGGCAGGCGCAAAAACTCGTGGCACTGCAGGTCCTCGCTGGTGCCACTAGGTCCGGCCTGACGCTGCGGGCAAGGCGCCGAGGGAAGCGTGCGGGTTCGGGGGGCTATCGAGCTAGAGCTCTGGTCCGTCTTCGATGCATTGGACCAATCCCATCACCATCATCATCAACACCACCATCATGGCCACCACCACCACCACCATCACCATCATCATCATCATCATCATCATCATCATCATCATCATCATCATCATCATCACCATCACCATCATCATCATGAGCACGATCATCATCATCATCATCACCACCACCACCATCATCATCATCATCGTCATCATCGTCAGCATCATCAGTATCAGCATCATCATCAACATCATCATCATCATCATCGTCATCGTCGTCGTCGTCGGCGGCGACGGCGTCAGCATCGTCAGTATCACAATCAGCAGCATCACCCCCACCACACCCAACCATCATCAGAATCATCATCATCATCATCATCGTCAGCATCATCATAGTCATCGTCGCCATCATCATCAACATGATCATCATCAGCATCATCATCATCTTCATTACCATCATCAACATCACCATCACCATCATGACCATCGTTCCGGGCGTCATCGTCATTGCCGTAGCCATCATCATCACATTCATCATCACCAGCATCATCGGCATCATCATCACCATCGTCAGCATCATGATCAGCATCATCATCGTCATCGTCCGTACCATAATCCAGATCATCATCATCATCATCATCATTCCCATCATGTTCCTCTTCGATATCATCATCTCCAACAGCATCATCATCATCATCATCAGCATCATCTCCATCATCATCATCATCCGTATCACCGCCATCATTCTCAGCCTTAGCAGCATCATCATAATAATCAGCAGAATCATCATCATCATATTCATCATCATCTGCATAATCGTTAACTTTACCATCGTCATCAGCATCAGCACCGTCATCATCACCACCAGCACCAGCATTAGCATCAGCAAGAACATCATCAACACCACCATAATCATCATTAGCATCCTCATCACCAGCATCAACATACTTATCATCAGCATCATCATTGTCGTCATCGTCATCGTCATCAGCATCATCGACATTATCGCCACCATCAACAACACCAACATCATCAGGAGCATCAACAGCAGCATCATAATCAGCATCACCACCATCATCGTCAGCATCGTCGTCGCCATCAGCATCATCATCCAGATCAGCATCGGCATCAGCATCATCAGCATCTGCATCATCATCACCATTATCATCACCATCACCATCACCATCACTATAATCACCCGCATCAGCATCAGTATAATTAGCATCGGCATCATCATGAGCATCATCATGATCATCATCATCATGATCATCATCATCATCATCATCATCGACGTCATACTCGTCATCATCGTCAGCATCATCAACATCATCGCCAGCATAAACATCATCATCCGCACCCTGAGCATCAGCATTGTCAGCATCAGCGGCGTCAGCATCATATTCAGCGCCATCATCAGCATCAGCATCAGCACCAACATCATTTGCCATCTTCACCATCACCATCACCATCACCATCACCATCATTATCGTCATCATCATCATCATCATCATCATCATCATCACTATCATCATCATCATCATCATCATCATCATCATCATCATCATCATCATCATTATCATCATCAGCACCATCATCATCAACACCAGCATCAGCAGCAGCATCCTCATCGTCATCGTCATCGTCATCGTCGTCCTCATCCTCCTCCTCATCATCATCCTCATCCTCCTGCGAGCGCCAAGAGAAGTCGAGACGCCGCCACACACCTACGCCCCTTGAGCTCGACGAGCAGCGGCACGACCCAGTAGCAGACCACGACCATCAGCAGCAGCAGCAGCAACGCGTGCGCCGCCTCCTCCTCCTCTTTCTCCTCCGCCTCCTCCTCATCAGCATCCATATTCTCCGGCTACCCCAGCCTACCCCTGGCACCACGCCGTCGGAGCCATCGTTCACCTCCAAGAACTCGAGGGTCCTCTGGGCGACGTCCACCACTGCGGGCCGATGCTCTTTTGCTTCTCGCGGGCCGCCCTTCGGAGACCACGGCTCCGCCCCTCTCCCCTTCTCCTCATCCTCTCTCGCCTTTCCCCGCCCCCGCCCCCCCAACCCCTCCCCATCCTCCTCCTCCTCACCACCACCGTCGTTCCCGGAGGGAAATGACACGTGTTGAAGATTGGCCAGGAGGACTCCATCCCAAGAGGTCTCGGCCACGGCATGTCTTGATTCGGTGTGCCCCCTCCAGGGGGGTCTGGCTGCGGATGCCGAACCTACAAGACGTCAACCTGCTGCTCCCGCCCGTCCCTCGCTCCTGCTGCGCAGCCCGCGAACCGAACCACCCACAAGAGCCGCGGCCGCCCAGCAGCAGGGTGAGGGGCAACGGCAGGGGGGGACCAGCTCAGGAGGAGGCCATCGAGCCGTGACCGGCAGTACATCGCCAATGGATAGGCGACAGACGCCCGATGGCGAATGCGCGCGTTGTTGGGCGGGGCGGGCTATCGGCTATCGGGCCTCATCGGCGACGATTGGGCGAGTGGGGGTGTATGCATCCCCCCTGAGCCTATCCCCAAAAAAATTGTCCCGTGGTTCTCGGGCTATAAATCAGCTCTCTGGCGGCCGGTCGGGACGATCTGGGCACCCTCAGAATGCTCACGGCGAGGCGCAGCCGCTGGAAGGCGCCCCGAGGCTGGGAAGACGAGGAGAACCGACGAGATAACCTGAAAACATCGACAACAAAAAAATCGGATCTCCCGTGAGGGCGAGCTGGGTCAGCCGCTTGGGCATCACGGCGTACCGCTGCTGGAAGCTCGAGGAGTGCTTCACGAACACGTGGCGCTGGACGGAGCCCGCGCTCGCGAGCTTGGGCGCCGAGCCTGCGCCGCCCTCGTCGAGACCTGGCAGGGAGGAGGCGCGCGGCGGCAGCGGCAGCTGCCGGGAAGAGGGAGGCTGACGAGGAAGGTGCAGAGGCAGGAAAGCTGGAGCGGAAGATCCAAAAGAACGAAGAAGGGGGAGGGGGAGGAGGAGGAGGAGGAGGAGGAGGAGCAGCAGGAGGAGGAGGAGGAGAAGGAGGAGGAGGAGGAGGAGGAGGCCCACAATTCCAAGAGGAACACGAAGAGTCGCAGGGGAGCTCGCCGCTGGGGCCCCGCCGCCAGCCCAGACGGCGGGCACAAATCGAGAGATTTCAAGGAGTGCGTGCCACAGGTGTGGCGCGACATGGGCTGCGCGATTTAAGGGTTGCGCGGCACGTGGGTTGCGCGCCATCCTCCATCCATGGGTGGCACAATCCATAGGTTGCGCCATACATTGCGCCATGGATTATGCGATCTATGATTTGCGCCGTTGCGCCATCGGATGCACCACCCGTTGGTTGCGGCATGGGTTGCACCACGGAGGTTGCGCCATCCCCGGGGTGCGCCAAAGGTTGCGCCATAGGTTGAGCACTCTGCTTCACATAAAAAGACCTGCTGCTGGTTGCGCCCTAGGTCACGCACTCTGCGGATCATACAGCGGCCTGAATCCCACTAGCCCTCTTGGCGTGGGTGGTTTAACGAGCTTCGTCTTCCCTTTGCCAAAGCTCCCTCTTTCCCAAGCTCGGGGGAGGGGTTGATCACTTTTCCTCATTCGTATACACCCCTTTCTGGCCGGCCGCCAGCCCAGAACCATGCCAACCCCACGAAGGCCACCACCACCCCACCATCCTTGTCAGAAACCAGAAAGCACGCTGCCTCCAAATTTGGAGCATGCGTGGGCGCCCCGCGAAAATTTCGCATTGGTATTTTAAAAGGACGGCTGGGGTATCAGCAGATGCCACCCGCCTTCTGGGCGCAGGTGGCCGACCAACTGGTTTGGCACATCAGTGTTTGCTGCTTTTTCGCCGTACCGTTTCCAATGGGATTTCAAAGCCTCCACATGGCTCCCAAATTGACCAAAAAAACTCAAAGCCAGGCCCAAGAGCCCCTACTGGTCCTCAGTGGCTGGCGCACCTGGCGCGGCTGGAGCACGCGAAACACTGGGCGCACGTGGAGCACCAGCCGCACCCGGCGCGCCTGGCACGCTTGGGCCTCCAGGGTCCGGTGCATTTGGAACCCGTGGCGTCTGCGGCGCTCTTACGCGATATGTTGGTTCCGTCTCCCCCTACCCCCTCCCCTGGGCCTGGGAGGGAGGGGAACGCGGGTAGCTAGAGCACCCGAGATGGCCCAGAATGGTTCCAAGACGGCCTCAGAGACTCTGAGAGCCCACGACGGCCTCCAAAATGGTTCGATAGCCCCCGACACACATCCAAGAGACCGCAATACGATTTCAAGTGCCATCCGAACTCCCCCAAATGGGAAATCCATGTGTTTTGCCTTCTCACCTTTTCGTTTCCGATGGGCTCTTGAGGCCTGAAAACGGCCGACGGCCCCGGGACGGCCCAAGAGAGTCCCAAGGGGGCCCAGGGCCCAAGAGGGCCCCGAGAGGGGCCCCAACAGCGCCCACGAGCACCCAAAAAGCGCACCAAGAAGGCCTCAAGACATTATTTTTGAGCCTCTGATGGGGGGGAGCCATGACCCTTTCATTTTGCCCACGGGTCCCCAGACAACCCCAAGAAGCCTCCCAGACCACCCCAAAGAGCCCCAATATGACCCCAAGAAAGCTTCAAGAGAACTCCAGAAGAACTTCGGAAGTGCCCCAAAAAGCCCCGCGAGGACCCTCAGCCCCAAGATGGCTGCAAGAGAACGCTGGGGAAACGCTTCCAAGGCGGTTGTCGCACTGCATGCTTCTATACTGTCCTGACCACGGCAACTCGCCTGGCAATCGTTTTCTGGATGGGCTGGCGGGGATATTGTTTGGCACGCGGGCGCGCGAAACGGGTCGAACGAAGGGCTAGCAGGGGCAGGCTACGCCACCGGCTGCAGAGAAAAAAAACGACGAGTCACGAGCAAAGCCCGGCGCGGGGCGGAGCTCAGGCGTCCAAGCGTGAGGAGGGTGCCGAGGAAGGCCGTGTACACGACGGCGGCGTAAGGCGACCAGAACGCCACACTTACCCAGGAAGGCGGTGACGAAGGTAAGGGCCAGACCGAACTTGCCGAACACGAAGTCCTGGCAAAGAAGAGCAGGAAAAACCAGAAGGCCCCGCTCCACGTGGGCAATGACCACCTCCGTGAAGAACAGGACCAGGGGAGAGCACGGCCGCCCTGGAACGGCTGGTGGGGAGACTTTGTTGTTGCCAGCCGCAGGCGAGCGCGCCGACGGCGTGTCAAGGTCCGAGCGGGCCGCGCGAGGTCCTAAACTACCAAGCAGAAGCAGGCCTACCACCGCAACTCAGAACGGGACTGGGGAGTAGCCGAAGAGGGGGCGGGGGGCTGGTGGGGATACGCAAAGCGACAAGAGTTTCATGGCGCCATCGGTTGCATACTTTGCAGCCAAAACACAAAACGGCCTGCCAACGGGTGCTGCCAATCAGCCACTCAACCCGTCAATCCGAAAATTACTGGAGCGCACCCCGCGGAACGGAAAACAACGGGATGCGCCCGATGTGAACAAATGAGAGAGCAAGATAGCGTGGGCTCCGCTACATGGCGGCCGCCATCGCGCCAAGCCGTAACCGAGGCCACAGCCTGACGGCGCAAGGGTAGCAGGGGTAGCAGGAGCAAGAGGAGGGGGAGGATGGAGGGCTGAGGAGGGGGAGGGGGGAGGGGGGGGGAGATGGAGGAGAAGAGGATCGACAAGGCGGGAGGAAAAAAGGACATGAGGAAAGGAGGGGTTTGGAAAGAAATGGCTGGGCCGAGAGCACGACAACCAGACCTGGGCAGATCTATAGAAGGTTGTTTCTCCGACCGTTCCGTCCCTCCCTCCCTCCCCCATCCCCTCACCCACTATCCCCTACTCATATGTCTCCCCACACTTCCTTCATCGTCCCTTTCCTCCCTCCTCCTTGTTTTCCTCTTCCTCCTCCTCCTCCTCCTCCTCATCCTCCTCCTCTTCCTCCTCCTCCTCCTCCTCTTCCTCCTCCTCCTACCCCCCTCTCCCCCGTCTTTTTCCCGCGTCCAGCCTCCCGCCTCCTCCAGCCTGCATTCCCCCCGTACCTCTTCCTTCATTCGTCTATCCCTGCGCTTGTGTTCATCACTACTGATACTCTCTAATGCCATTCGTCCCCCTTCTTAACGCAGGCATTCGCCTCGAAAGTGCCCTTTAACTCATTATGCCTGTCATTATCCACTCCATGCCCCTCTCCCCTTGTCATAACCACCACCGAGACCGCCGCCACCACAGCAACCATGTTCATCGTGGTCATCCGCACGGCCACCACAATCACAACCATCAAGTCTGTCATCGTCGTCACCACGCCATCAAGTCTGTCATCGTCGTCATCAAGTCTGTCGTCGTCGTCACCACGCCATCTCCACAAACACAACAATGAAACCGTATGAGAAGGACGGGTGGTACGGACGAAAGACCCTGTGGCGGCGGGCGACCAACGCCCCAGGGACGCAAAGGTACCCTAACCCGCCCCCGTCCTTGCCGAATTGGCGTTGCGCCCCCCCCCCCCCCCCCCAAAAAAAAAAAAAAACGCTAAGACACGAACGCGACCTCAACATCCGCGCGTCCCGCTGGGCATGGCGCCAAGATCAAACGGCACCTGCTCGGGTGGGCCACGCGGCACATGCGGAGGGCGCAGAGACGCGCCAGGGGCCCCATGCCCGCTCCGCGCCCCTGGGGCCACGTCCACCCGCTACCGAAGCGACGGCCGAAAGCAAGGGCAGCGCGCCCAAGGCCGGGCAAAAGATCCTGCCTGGCCCGTTCCCTTCAGGCAACCTCCGCCCGCGAGGGAGAGGACGACGGAAGACAGCGGCGGCGCGCCCAAGGACGGCCAAGGGAACCCTGCATGGCCATCGTGCTCCAGATGGCTCCCCTGTGTAGCGCGCGCCGCACAAGTGACCCACCAGCGGGTGGGTCACCCGAAGACGGGCTGACAAAAACCAGTTGTTTCACTTGCATGCTGGGCCTCAGCATGAGCTGGTGCGCCCGTACTCCATACGCTTCCCCTGTGGAGCGCGCAGCGAACAGGTGACCCAACAGCGGGTGGGTCACCCGAACACGAGCTGCGAAGAACTCATTGTTCCACTTGCTTCAAAATGCGTTTGCCCACTCGTGCTCCATATGCCTCCCCTTGTGCAGCGCGCAGCGCACAGGGGACCCACCAGCGGGTGGGTCACCCGAACACTGGTTGGGAAAACCCCATTGCTCTCTCTTTGCAGCGCGCAGCGAGCAGGTGACCCACGTCCTGAAGGCAACGCCCGCCCGCGAAACAAGAAACAAGAAAACGACCGAGGGCAGCGGCGGCGGGCCCAAGGACTGCCAAGGGAGCTCTGCCTGGACAACGTCTTTAGGCCCACGACCGCCCGCACATTGAGCCACGGGCCAGGGCGAGGCCGACGCGCCGATGGACGGCTTCAGGTACCTTTGTTGTTCGCGTTATTCAAACACCCCCCTGAAGGAACGCCCCGCCGCGCAGCCGAGAGGCGGCGCCCGCCCCCAAGGGTGGCCTGAGAGGCTGACCGGTGGAAGCAGCGAAGGGCAAGCCGCAGAGGCAAGGACACAAGGATACCCCGAGGCTCGCGTCCTTACTATGCGCGTTGGCTTTATCACCCCCACCATCACAGTCGTCATCGGCATCGCCATTGCCATGCCCATCGCTATCACAGCACCATACGCATCAGCAGCATCATCATCATCATCATCATCATCATCATCATCAGCAGCAGCAGCAGCATCATCATCATCATCATCATCATCATCATCATCATCATCATCATCATCATCATCATCAGCAGCAGCAGCAGCAGCACATCATCATCATCATCATCATCATCACATCATCATCATCATCATCAGCATCATCATCATCATCATCATCATCATCAATCATCATCATCATCATCATCATCATCATCATCATCATCAGCATCATTATCATCACCATCATCATCATCATCATCATCATCAGCATCATCATCATCATCATCATCATCATGATCTTCATCATCAGCAGCATAATCATCATCAGCATCCTCCTCCTCCTCCTCATCATCATCATCACCAGCATCATCATCACCACCATCATGATCACCAACAGCATCACCATCATCATCATCAGCAGCATCGCCATCATCATTATCATCATCATCATCATCATCATCATCATCATCATCATCATCATCATCATCATCATCGTCATCGTCATCGTCATCATCATCATCAACAACAGCATCCTCATCATCATCATCAGCATCAGCATCAGCATCAGCATCATCATCATCAGCATCAGCATCAGCATCAGCATCCGCATTATCATCACCATCATCATCAGCATCATCATCATCACCATCATCATCATCATCATCATCAGCATCATCATCATCAGCATCATCATCATCGCCATCATCACCAGCATCAGCATCATTATCACCATCTCCATCATAATCCCACCAGCAATCTTGGCGTAAGTGGTTTAAAGAGTTTCCTCTTCCACCCCCATTCTTCCCCTTCGGGGAGGTGTGCACCCTTCCCCCATACCTCCTCCCCTGGGCCTGGACGGGGGGGTCGCGAGCGGTCAGACGGTACTTGTTCGCCCAAGACGGCTCCAAGAGCGCCTCAGCGAGCCCAAGATGACCTCCAAGATGGCTCGAGATAGCGCAAGATGGCCCAAGATGGTGTCCAAGATGGTCCAAGAGGCCCCAAGAACGCTCCACGAAGCCTCCGAGACCTCCAACGAGGCTTCCAAGAAGCCCAAAATCACTAGGGACAACCAATGATGTTTGCATCGTCGCCCAGTCGCTTCCGATTGCCTTCCGAGGCCTCAAGATGGCTCCAAGATGGCCCAAGAGGGCCCCAAGAGGGGCCCAAGAGAGCCTCAAGAAGGCCCCAAGAGCACCCAAGAGCGCTCCGAGCGCGCCCCAAGAGGGGTCCACGAGGGGATTATTGGGGCTCCCGAGGGTAAGGGCGAATTGCAACCATCCTCTTCTTTGATCGAAGACGCCTACGGCGAATCACCGCCGACCCCTGTCTTTTGGGGAAGCGCCTCTGTGGCCGAGAGTTGGGCTGGAGCTTGGCCAAGCTGTCGGACCATGAGTTCCCCGAGTCGGTTTGGAAAGCTGTCGGGGAACACGTGGGGGAGAATGAACATGAAGAGGAAGAGGAAGAGGAGGATGAGGCTTCTTGGGGGTCTCTTGGGGCACCCTTGGGGCCTGCTATGAGCTTCTTGGGGGTCTCTTCGACGCCTCTTTGGGGCCTCCTTAGGCCTGCTGGGGGCCTTTGGAGGCTTCTTGGGGGCTTTCCGGGGGGCTCTTTGGCCGTCTTGGGGCGCTCCTGGCCCGTCTGTCGCCGTCGGAAGTCGTCTTGGGGTCCTCTCTGGGCCGTCTTGGGGCCCTCTTGGGGCGCTTCAGGGCCGTCTTGGAGACCATCTTGGGCGTCTGGGAGGTCTCCTGGGCCGTCTTGGGGCCCTCTTGGGGCCGTCTTGGGGGCCTCTTGGGGCCGTCCTGGGGCCATATTGGAAGCCTCTTGGGCGATCTTGAGGCGATCTTCGGGGCATCTTGGGCCGTCCGCGGCCGACGGAAAGCCCAAAAGACGCAAATGCCACAATCCTTCAAAAACCTAGGGGAAAGGTATGATTTTGGCTTGTTCGGGCCTTCTGGAGGACCTTTTGGAGGCCTCTTGGGGCGTATTGGGTGCCTCTTGGGGGGCTCTTGAGCCGTCCTGGGCCATCTTGATGCCACTTTAGGCTGTCTTGAGTGCATCTTGGCTCGTCTTGGAGGCACCTTGGAGCCATCTTAGTCGTCTTGGAGGCAATCTTGGCCGTCTTGGATGCATCTTGAAAACCGTATTGGGGCGTCTAGGAGCCGTCTGGAGCAGGAAGAACCTTTTGCAACCAGGTCTGGGCAATCCTTTCGGGTGGCCGGCGGGACGCGCCGAAGCCCCAGGGGGAGCTGTTGTGGAAAAAGAGCCAAAACCAAAACCGAGAGGATCCAGCACGCCAGGCACCCCTGTGATGAATCAACAGGGGATTGCGGATCGATGTCCTCCAAAATGGCCCCGAGAGCGCCTCCAAAGCTCCCAAGAGCGCCCCACAAGGACTCTAAGAGAGCCCCAAGAGGCGCCAAGGCGGCCCCAAGAGGCGCCCAAGAGGCTTCGAAGAGGGTCCCGAGAGGCCCCAAGAGGCTCCGCAAGGCACCCAAGACGCTCCAAGGGGCCTCCAGGACCGCTAAGGAGGCCCCATAAAACGCTCCAAGGGGTTTCCAAAAGGCTTCCAAGAGACATCCGAACAGTCTCTGAGAGGCAACTCGCCTTGGCATCGTTTCTGGATGGGCTGGTGGGGATACGCGGAACTCCAAATAATAAAACAGAAGCGCCATCATCATCATCATCACCATCATCATCATAATCACCATCATCATCATCATCATCATCATCATCATCATCGTCATCATCGTCATCATCATCATCACCACCACCATGATCATCATCATCATAACCAACATCATCAGCAACCACACCACCATCATCATCACCATAATCATCACAAGTACAATCGTCATTCTTACGATCATCAGCATCGCCGACGTCACCACCACCATCGTCATCATCGTCATCATCATCACCATCGTCAGCATCACCTTCACCATCATCACCATGCCATCCCTCCGCCGCGTGTCATCCCCCCTGTGCCCCTCATCCACACCTCTCCCCTCCTCGTTCCCTCTCCTCCCCCGATGCTGCTGGTTTTGAAGGAGGGTGGCAACGACGCGGACGACAACACAGCAGCAACAGCAGCAACAGAGGCAGCAGCAGAAGGAGCAAAAGCAACAGCAGCAGGCCAGGCGGCGGCCAAGGCCGTCGTCGAGGCCTCCGCCGCGAAGGCCTTCAGGGACGAGTTCTGCGGGCGCCGTGGAGCGGGCCGCCGCGGACCGCCTCTGCTCCCACACAGCCCGCTCTGTTCCAAGCGGCGGCGGCGGCAGCAGCAGCAGCAGCAGCCTGCGGCAGCCTGCAAACCTCGGCACCCGCCCCTGGGCCGACGCAAGCCGCGGAGCCACTCGAGGAAGAGGTTCCGGAACATGACCGGCTCGCTCAGGCTGCCGGCGTCCATCTCGTTCCTCGACTCCGACGAGCGCATGACCCCGCGCAGGTACTCGCGAGGGAGGGGAGGGGAGGAGGGGGAGAGCGAGTGAGGAAGAGAGAGGAGGGAGGGAGGGAGAGGGAGAGGGAGAGGGTGACAGCGAGGGCAGGAGGGACGAGGGAGAAGGGAGAGAGAATGCGAGGGAGAAGAGGAGGATGGAGGGGGGGAAGGAAAGGGAAGGCGATGGGAGGGACTGCGTTGGCACCCATTCGGATGACATCGGCGGGCTCACATATTGGCTTCAAGTACTGCTTGTCGCGGGTCGCTGACCATTGCCGACTGCTGATCATTCAACAGGGCTGGTGCGTTCTGGAGCACACCCCTAATCTGTCTACTTTTCCTCCTCATCCTCCTCATCACATTCCGACTACTCCTCCGCCTCCTCATCATCAATATCCTCCTGCTCCTTCTCCTCCTCCTCCTCCTCCTCCTCCTCCTCCTCCTGCTCCTCCTCCACATCCTCCTGCTCCTCCTCCTCCAGCACATCCTCCTCCACACGCATCGGCGCTCCTTGTGGTGGTCCTTGATGATCATGCTCATGGGCATGCTGAAGACATCTTGGCCACCGAGCGCAGTGGCCTCGGCATGTCTGGCCAGAGCGGACGGCCCCCTTCTACTACTGCTCGTCCTTGCCCCGTCTTGACGTCCTCCTCCCTCGTGTCCTCACCTTCCATCCATCCTCCCAATCCTGCTCCTGCTCCTGCTCCTGGTCCTCCCCCTTCTCCGCCTTATCCTCGTCATCCTCCTCCTCCTCCTCAATCCTTGCCGTGCTTCTGACGATAATTCATCTCCCTCCCGCTATCGAGACGAATTTAGGCCAGCACGCCAGCGCATTCCACCTCTATATTGGACCATGCATAGTCGCCCTATCCAGAAACACTATGAGAAAGACACCCCGTCGAAGATGATGCAACAATGGATTACACACATGATATGGTGAAATTTCTTTCATCCTCTTTCAATACCCCTTCAACTCCCCCTCCCCCTCCCCCTCCCCGCCCTTTCTCATCGCTCTCCCAGTCCTCCCGCGCGCAACCATCCGTCTACGCCTTCACCACCTCCTCCGCCCCCTCCCCCCCCACTGCCCGCCCCTGGGTCGGGGAAGCAAAGGGGAGGATGGAGGGTGGGACGACCTTCCGAAGGATCCCTCCTCCGCCTCCTCCGCCCTGTCTTCGCCGAGCCCTACCCGTGCCCTCCCGGGGCCGTGGCCATCACCACTGCGTCGGCCGCACAGCCGAAGAGCACGCCGAACAGCACCAGCCGGCAGAGGCGCAGCTCCAGGGGCAGAGAGAGCGCCAGGCCTTGCCGCTGCAAATGAGGAGGAGAAGGACGAGGAGGAGGAGGAGGAGGAGGAGGAGGAAGGCGGAGGAGGAGAAAGAGGAGGAAGAGGAGGAGTTGGTCGTCGACGAAACCGAGGAGGGAAGGAGGGGGAGGAGGACGAGGCGCTGCGATCTACTGATCACAGCCCGTTCAGCGCAAAAAGGAGGAGGAGGAGGAGGAGGAGGAGCTGAAAGAAGATAAGGCCATCGACGAGGAGCAGGGCGGGTGGCCAGGACAGGAGGGGTGCGGGGGATGGAGAGGGATCGCCGGCAAAACGATCGCCAGGCCGCGGGAGGGCTCGCCCGGGCGAGGGCAGCAGACGGCCGCCTTGAGGGCCACCTCCTCCTCCTCCCTCCTCCTCCTCCTCCTCCTCCTCCTCCTCCTCCTCCTCCTCCTCCTGCTCAAGCCTCGAAGGGGGACGAAAAAGGAGGGAGAGGGAAAGTCTCGACATTCCTCCTCTTTTTGTTTGCCCTTCGAGTTCTCGTTGTGTACGGACCACTCGCAGAATCTTGCCGGGTTCACGCGCGCGCAGCCCTTTTCCACCCGCACGAGCGCTCAGATGCGGCAATCGTCTGGACCAACGTCAGTGTAATGTGCAAAGGTCCGCCACCATGCCCCTGTGGCACAAAGTTCGGGAGCGGCCAAGAGGGGGGTGTCCAAGAGGGGGGGGTGCAAATCATGACCGGTGGCATGTGCGCGGCCCAGCGGGGGGGCCAGGGACGCAATGAAATGAGAAGAGGCGCCATGAAATCTGGGGAAAGATCATGGCCCACGCCATGATATCCGCTCCCCCCTAGTCATCACCCCCCTTTGTGCCGCCCCCGGGAAAAAAATGGAGTGCCCCCGAGCCCCTGGCTCTCATGTCCACCCGGTGTTCTTCAGGGGCCTGGACCCTGGACCCCTGGCTCTCAGAGCTTCCTGGCTTCCCCGCGTGCTCCCCGCGGTTCCTTCTTGTCGGAGCCCAGACGGCCCCATCCCTGGCCCCATCTGGTGGGCTTGTTTTCCACCACCACCACCATAAGTAGGAGGGGGAGGGGGTCCTCCTCCTCTTCTTCTTCTTCTCCTCCTCCTCATCCTCCACCTCCTTCCCCCCTCCAACTTATGGTGGTGGTGGTGGAAAACAGGCCCATCACCATCCCCAAGATGGGCCGAGGAGGTCCCAAGCGGCCCCCCACGGCGGTCCAAGAAGGCCTCGAATCGCCGAACAGTCGGTCCAAGACGCCCAGGGTGGACTCCAGTCGGCCGAAAACTGACCCAAGAAGGCTTCGAGGAGCCCAAAGAGGGCCCCCAAAGCCGTCCCAGGAGGGCCCCGAAAAGGCCAAAATCATAGATTTCCCTTTGGTGCTTAATGTGTGCGGGGGGTCCTCGACTTTTCGAGCTTCCGACGCTCCAAGACGGCCCAAGAGGCCCCGAAAACCGCCCCAAGGCGGCCCAAGAGGCCCCCCAAAGGGCCCCAAGACGGCTTCCAAACAGCCTCAGCGGCGCCCAAGGCAGCCCAAGAGAGCCCAAAGCCCCAAGAAGGGCCCGAGAGGAGAAAAGTAACGAGCCGAAAACCCGAGCCTTCAACCCCCTAATGCCCCAAGGAGATCCAAATGAGGCCCCAAGAGGCCCCCGAGAGGCTCCAGGAGGCCCCCCAACGGGCCCCCAACACGCCCTTAAGAGGCCCCAGAACGGCCCCCTCGAGGCATCAAAACGGTGCCCAAGAGTCTGGCAAGTGTTACTGAGGGGGGACGTGCATGAGGGGGGAACGCGCGTTTCCCAAACGAGGCGAGTGGATGCGAAATCCCGCCTCGCAGATGCTACGCTGCTCGATTCGAATGTTCCATTCCAGACGGCGGCTCTCCCTCCCCCTCCCCCTCCCCCTCCCCCCTCCCCTCCTCCTCCTCCCTCCCCTCCTCCTCCTCCTCCCTCTCCTCCTCCTCCTCCTCCTCCTCCTCCTCCTCCTCCCTCCCTCCTCCTCCTCCTCTCCTCCCTCCTCCTCCTCCTCCTCCTCCTCCTCCTCCTCCTGCTCCTCCTGCTCCTCCTCCTCCTCCTCCCTCCTCCTCCTCCTCCTGCTCCTCCTCTCCTCCTGCTCCTCCTCCTCCCTCCTCCTCTCCTCCTCCTTCCTCCTGCTGCTGCTGCTGCTGCTGCTGCTGCTGCTGCTGCTGCTGCTGCTCCTCCTCCTCCTCCTCCTCCTCCTCTCCTCTCCTCCTCCTCCTCCTCCTCCGCTCCTCCTCCCCTCTCCCCCTCCTCCTCCTCCTCCTCCTCCTCCTCCTCTCCTCCTCCTCCTCCTCCTCCTCCTCCTCCTCCCTCCCCCTCCCCTCCACCTCCCCCTCCCCCTCCTCCTCCTCCTCCTCCTCCTCCTCCTCCTCTCCTCCTCCTCCTCCTCCTCCTCCTCCTCCTCCTCCTCCTCCTCCTCCTCTCCTCCTCCTCCTCCCTCCTCCTTCCTCTCCTCCTCCTCCTCCTCCTCCTCCCTCCTCCTCCTCCTCCTCCTCCTCCTCCTCCTCCTCTCCTCCTCCTCCTCCTCCTCCTCCTCCTCCCCCCTCCTTCCTCCTCCTCCCACGCCTGCGGCGCAACTCCTGACGTGGCCATCGATTTGAGCCACGTCGTGAGCGGCAGCCTCCCGCTCGGACATTTCGATACGCAACACCGGCGGGCGGCCACAAGCTGCAACCCATGAGCGTATCCCAGGAGTGCCCCTGTGAAGGGGCCCAAGGACACACAAAAAAATAAACAAATAGCAGGATCCCCCATATTTCCCCATGTCTTCTGGGTTTTTGTCATCCCCACCACTTCCCATGTTTTACCATACTTTCCTGGGAGTCGACGATTAGTTGTGTCTGTGTGCTTTTTCCCCTCCTGCCCTGAACTGCCGCGGTGCGTCGAAAACTGGCTCAGTAGTATCCCTAAAAGAGGCCCGGTGCTACACTGCCCCGGAGAGCGCATCCACACTTGGTGGGGCATGGCGGCCGCGCGCTCGCGGCCCGGGTGTCGCCACGCAACCCCTTTTGTCGGGGTCTGGCGTTGCTCCATCAGCCAGATACTGCTAGATGCTTCGCGCGCGTAGATCTCACTGCGCAGTGAACCGCTGGCGCAGTCCCCGCGCCGAACATGTTCAAAAAGGTGCAGAGCAACAAAGCGCCCCTTATGGGGTCCCTGAAGTGTGCCAAGGGTGCTGCTTATCTGTATACCCCACATTGCCACTCACCCGAAAGAGGCCCCCGAGAGGCCTCCAACGACATCCTGGCGAACATCCTAGAGGCCTATGGACCACAACCCAGGCCCGTTGGCGGAATGGGCCGAAAGCCATTCGATAGGGGACACGGGCGGCCAGGGGAGCTAGGCGGGCTCTCGCCAGATCTGACATCCTACCCCTCCCACCAAGCCCTTCCAATGGCGCTGTTGTTTTTCTCTATCCGTAGACGCGTGTCATAGCAGACCTGGAAATCAAACAAGGACCACATCGCGCCATGCGCAATCGAAAAAACGAAACTGCATACATTGGAGTAGGAGTAGGAGGAGGAGGAGGAGGAGGAAGAGGTGGCGGATGAGCAGGAAGAAGAAGAAGAAGAAGAGGAGGAGGAGGAACAAAGGAGAAAGGAGGAGGACGAGGACGCATAGCAGCAGCAGGAGCTAGTGGAAGGAGCGGGAGGAACAGGAGGACCAAGGTGAAGGCGCAAGAGGGGAAAAAAAGAGGGGGCAACAACGATGAGGAAGAACTCGGATCCAGAAGAGTGGCCCGCGCTGGGATGGGAGTGCCATCCTGAACGATGGGAGCAAAGCTCCGATCCTTAACTGAGGCCCGCGCTGCAGCGGCAGCACCGTTTTGAAACACCAAGGGCGCTCCGTGTGAACAGACATGCCTCTTGAATATCAGCGCCTGAGATCGTGGGGACAGAACGATGCGCGGAGGAGGGCGGGCCAGTCCCCAGCAGTCTCGAGGGGAGAGGAGAGGGACCGAATCGCTGCGGGGGAGGGAGGGCCGGGGAGGGGCGGCGGGGCGAGGGGGAGCGGGCGGCCGAGGAGGGGGTGGACAGGGGCGGACGCGAGGCGCGCGAGGGGGGGGGAGGAGAACGGAGAGGGAGAGAGCGGGGCGGGGCGGCGCGGAGAGGGGGAGGGGGGGCGCGAGATGCGTGGAGGGGGGGGGGGATGCGGGGCGCACGAGGGGGGACGAGCAGGAGACGCCTGGCAACCAGGCAGCAGATCGCACCGATGTGCAGCCGGCGGAGAAGGCAGAGCAGCGCCCCTGTCTGCGCCCTCTGCACCTCCTCTGCCTCGGAGCACTGGGGGCTCCGTCAGGGCATGTGGCCATACCGTTCTTGGACGGGACCTCCCAGCGCTCGATCTTACCTAGGGCCTTTTTCTGCAGGGGTGGGGCAAGGAAGGCGGGCCACGACGGGGATAAAGTCGGACAGGGACACATGGGGGATCTCTGAATAATGGCGGGTCTGAAAGACCACCCGTCCTAGCCAGGACCAGTCAGCCGGAATCGACATCGACATCGAATCGAATCGCTCGGATCGAAATGGACCCTGACCCAGCACCGCCAGAGGAAGGGCGGAGGCGAAGGCCCTCGCCGGCGCTGGGCTTGGATCCGCCGCGGGGGGATCCACGATCCATCACATCGAGGCAGGCATGTGCTTTTCGGACGTCTGCGATTAGGCACTCTGCGAGTAGAGGAACGCTCTCGGTGACACTGTCCTGGTGAGCAACGTTCAACCGACCCCCATCCCCATGAGCGTGGCCTGGGCCCCACTGGCCGCTTCACCACCCAGGATGGGTATACGGGCTGCTCCCCTCAGGCTTCGAAGGGTAGATCCCCAACTGGGGTGGTGAGATGGTGGGGGTCTGGATGGGGATGCAGACACCCAGACGTCCGCCGATGTGACTTTTTCAGTCCGCGGCCCCAGAGAGCCCGACCCCTTGCCCGGGGGCGGTTCTTCTTGAGCAGGGACCGACCGTCCCGGCATTCCTATAGTCCTACAACAAAGAACAAAAACAATGTTCTTAGAAATCAACGCGATGTGTTAAAACAAGACAGTCCCAGCCAGAAATGTTCTAAGAACATTTCATGCATACCACAAAAGGTTCTTAGAACATAGTTTGGTGGGGCTATAGGCGAGCCGGGTCGCTTCGGCACTGCTTGATCTTCGTCCCAGATCCATGCTTCATGGCCCCTGGGCCCCCGAAGTCCAGGAGAAACAGCGCCGCTCTGAACAAAATCGTCTCCTAGGATCTCTGGGCAGGGGGTCGTCGTCGTCGTCGCCGCCGCCGCCACCGCCGCCGCCGCCGCCGCCGCCGTCGTCGCCGTCGCCGTCGCCGTCGCCGTCGTCGTCGTCGTCGTCGTCGTCGTCGTCGTCGTCGTCGCCGCCGTCGTCGTCGTCGTCGTCGTAGTCGTCGTCGTCGTCGTCGTCGTCGCCGCCACTGTCGTCGTCGTCGTCGTCGCCGTCGTCGTCGTCGAAGGCCCTCGCCGGCGCCGGGGCTTGCACGCCGAGGGCCGGGCAGCCGAGGATGGTGATCTGCGCGGTCTCGTCGCTCCTCGCGGGGGGGGGCGCGCTCGCTGCGGGGCAGGCCGGCTGCGCGGCCCGCCGCCGAAGACGGCGACGACGACGACGACGCCGACGACGACGACGACGGCGAGGACGACGACGACGACGACGACGACGACGACGACGACGACGACGACGACGACGACGACGGCGAGGACGACGGCGAGGACGACGACGATCCGTCCTCCCCGCTCCGCCTCCTCCGCCCTGCTCCTCCTCCTGACGCTGACGCGCGGTCGGAACGAGCATGCGTGCTGGATGCTGCCACCCTCCTCCTCCTCCTCCTCCTCCTCCTCCTCCTCCTCCTTCTCCTCCTCCGCCTCCTCCTTCCTCCATTCTGTCGCACCCCGATGCCGGTCGAAAGAGCGGGCCGGGCGTTTCGCCTGAGACTTCCTCACCACTCATGACCCTGATGCTTGAACATTGGCAACCGTTTCACAAATGGATAGCTGGTGGTCTTCGAAATGTCGCTCTCGCCTTAGCGCCGTGCATATTCGTTTTGACAATTTGCGAGAAGCTTCGCATATTGAGGGCGGGTGGTTCTCAAAATGCAGCTCTCGCCTCAGCGCCGCGCAAATCCCACCAGCCCTTTGGGCGTGAGTGGTTTAGAGAGCCCCCTCTGTCCTCAACCCCCCAACCCCCCTTCTTCCCCTTCGGGGAGGGGTTTACCCCTCCCCCTCCCCCTCCCCCTGGGCCTGGACAGGGAGTCCCGCGGGTGGTCAGGGGGGTCTTTTTCGACGCCTGGGAGGGCCAAAAAACGACGACCCTCACGAGGATTCTGGCCCCGACGGGGGGGCGCTCTTGTAGCCCCCTCCTCTTCTGTGAAGCCAAAATCCTTGCTTTTACGAGGGTTTTGGCCCCATTTTGGCCTCCCGAGGGGGCCGCGCTCATCTTCCTTCCTAGCAAAATCATTCATTTTACGAGGTTTTGGGCTCATTTTGTCCTTCTCAGGGGGTAGCGCTCATTTGCGCTTCTGAGGAGGTCGCAAGAGGCCCCAAGATGGCCCCAAGAGGCCCCCAGGAGCCTCCCAAGAGGCCTCCAAGAGGCCACCCAAGAGGCCCCCAAGAGGCCCCCAAGAGGCCCCCAAGGCCCCCAGAGCCCCCAAGAGGCCCCCAAGAGGCCCCAAGAGGCCCCCAAGAGGCCCCCAAGAGGCCCCAAGAGGCCCCCAAGAGGCCTCCAAGAGGCTCCCAAGAGGCCCCAGGAGGAGCCCGAACGACTCACACCAGGACGAGGGGCCCGAACGACTCACACCACGAAGAGCCCGAACGACTCACACCACAAGGATAGGCCCGAACGACTCATACCAGGACGAAGCGCCCGACCGACTCACACCACGAGGAGCCCGAACGACTCACACCACGACGCGGGCCTCGAACGACTCACACCACGAGGAGCCCGAACGAGTCACACCAGGAGGAGGGGCAGCGCTCATACAAGCCCCCCAAGAGGGCCCCCAGAGGTCCACCAGATGGCCCCAAGAGGTCCCCAGATGGCCCACAGGAGGTCCCCAGGAGGCACCACGAGGCCTCCATCAGGCCCCCAAGATACCCCCAAGAGGTGCCCAAGAGGCCCCAAGAGGCGCCGAAGACGCCCCAAGAGGCCTCCGAGCGGCTTCGAAAAGACATCTACTACTACTTCTTCTCCTACGATTCGTACTACTTTTACTACTAGTACTACTCATACTCGTTTGACTACATCATCTCGTACTACTACACCTACAACTACTCTTACGACTACTACCATATCTACTCGCACTACCATGAGTCCTAGTACTACTAGAACTACTACCACTACTACCACTACTACTACTACTACTACTACTACTACTAATACTACTACTACTACTACTACTACTACTACTACTACTACTACTACTACTACTACTACTACTACTACTACTACTACTACTACTACTACCAGTACTACTACTACTCCCACTACTACTACTACTACTACTACTACTACTACTACTACTACTACTACTACTACTACTACTACTACTACTACTACTACTACTACGACCACTATCACTACTTATTACTACTACCACAACTTCCATATAGACCACTGCTCTAGTGACTGCCTCTGTTACTCAGGCAACTCGTGCGACGACGACGTTGACGACTACGTTTGCTACTACCGTTGATACTGGACATACCACTACTACTACTACTACTACTACTACTACTACTACTACTACTACTACTACTACTACCACTACGACTACTACTGCTACTACACCTACTACTACTAGTACTACTACTACTACTACTACTACTACTACTACTACTACTACTACTGATGCTATTACCATCACTACTACTATAACCTACTACTACTACTACTACTACTACTACTACTACTAGTACTACTACTACTACTACTACTACTACTACTCCTACTACTACTACTCCTACTACTCCTACTACTCATACAACTACTCCTTCTAATACTACTACTACTTCTACTAACTACTACTACTATACTACTACTTATTTTTTTTTACTACCACTACCACTAACCCTACCACTAACTACTACTACTACGACTAACTACTCTACTACTACTACCTACTACTACTACTACTACTACTACTACTACGACTACTACTACTACTACTACTACTACTACTACTACCACTACCACTGCTACAACTGATCCTACTGGTACTACTTCTACTACTACGACTAGGAGTCGAAGAGGAGGAAGAGGAGGAGTGGAAGAAGGCGATGGGAGGTAAGACAGACGGCGACAGGATTTCAGTTCGACAAGGGTAGAATCACGGAGCTCAGAGTGCGCAGGTCCTGGATTAGAATGCAGGTGGTGTGCGTCGTTGGGGCCCCTCGCCCTGGTGTGAGTCGTTCGGGCCCCTCCTTGTGTGAGTCGTTCGGGCCCTTCGCCGAACGACTCACACATCGAGGAGGGGCCCGGACGACTCTGACCAGGAGGGGGGACCCGAACTACTCACACCAGGAGGAGAGCACCGAACGAATCCACTGCACCGTGGTAGCGGCCACACCCACGGCTAAAACTGCCTGATATCCCAGTGTGGCAAAGTAGCGATACCACCCATTACTGATGCAGCGGTGTATCACAGGCCCCCAAGAGGCTTTTGTTCCCAAGAGGCGCCCAAGAGCCCTAAGAGGCCCCCAGAGGCCCCGCACACGATACCCCCCGACGACCACACAAGGACGAGGGGCCGAACGACCTCACAACCACGAAGAGCCCGAACGACTCACACCCCACAAGGAGGGGCCCGAACGAACTCAAAGCAAGGACGAGGCGCCCGAACGACTCACACACGAGGGCCCGAACGTACTCACACCACGACTGACGCCCCCTCCTCGAACGACTCACACCACGAGGAGCCGACGATCACACCAGTAGAGGGGCCCGACGACTCACACCGGATGAGGGGCCCGACAACTCACACCACGAGAAGCCCGAACGACTCACACCAGACGAAGAGCCGAACGACTCACACCACAAGAGCCCGAACGACCTCACACACCAGGAAGAAGGGCCCGAACGACTCACACCAGGACGAGAAACCCCAAACGACTCAAATCACGAGGAGCGCTCTCTCTCCCTCCTCCTCCGCCTCGTCCTTCTCCCGCTCCCCCCACAAGGAGGATTCGCAAAGAGGCGGGAGGAAGGAGGGACAGGGGAGATATACGGAGCCCAGCGGACACACGCCTGAAAAACACAACTGTCGACATGCTTCGCGAGAACTGCTGCTGTGAGATGGGCTGGTGGGGATACGCGAAGCGTAAAGAATATTGAACTCCAGAAGTACCTACTTTCAACGGGCGATGGGTAAACTGTTGGCGCTCCGCGCGGATTTCTTGGATCTGCGCTGGGGCCCCCTCCCTGGCGCGCGGAGCGCGCCCGGGGCGGCGCCAGAGGCGCCGCCAGGGGAGCCCAGCGCAGATCCACAAAATCCGCGCGGAGCGCCAACAATCTATATGTATGTGTATGCATGCAGTTGTTTCTCCCGGTCGAACGTGAGCGAGCGAGCGTCGGTCAATCGTTCAAGAGGGCGGGCAGGAGGAGGAGGAGGAGGAGGAGGAGGAGGAGGAGGAGGAGGAGGAGGAAGGCTGGGGAGGAGGAGGAGCCGGATAAGAGGAGGAGGAGGAGAAACAGGAGAAGAGTAGGAAGGAGGGGAGGAGGAGGAGGAGGATAAAGGACGAGGAGTATGATGATGGATGAGGGGGAGGGAGGAGATGGGTAGCAGGAGGGGGGGGATGCACTTATTCTTGCGTAGGATTAGTATGCTTAAGTTATTGTAGTATGATTAGGATGTGGAGTGCGGCGGAGGAAGAGGACGCGGCGTATTGACTGCGGCGGGGGCGAGGAAGAAGAGGTACTGATGATACTGAGGAGGAGAAGGAGGAGGTGGAGCGAGGAGGAGGTGGTGGCACCCAGCCGGGGAAGCACCCGCGAGCCGAGCAGGAGACGCGGCGCTCCGCTCCTGCCCGCCGGCAGCCGTCCTCCCCGTCCTCCCCGGGCCCGAGCGAGGGCCTCTGGGCTGACTGCCTACCAGACCACCCCAACCCAACGCGAAGACCCGAACTTCGGGTTTGGGGGGGGGGTAAAGGGTTCCAGATGTGTGTGCTCGATGTTTCCCGACCACCCCCCCCCACTGGAAATCGAGGGTCAATTTGAGCCTTCGGGTTGGGTTGGGGTGTTTTGGTGGGTGGTGATGGGCCCGCCATCGCTCGGACGTCCACTCCAGGGTGCAGGCCTCGAGCTCGCGCGCGTCTTCTCCGCAGGACGATCCCAGGTGCCCCTCGCTGGTCCAGGGGAACAAAAGGTGACGTAAACATCAAAACTCGGAGGTCTGCGCGGACTTCTCGGATCGGCGCTGGAAGCCCCTCCCTGGCGCGCGGAGCGCGCCAGGGGCGGAAAAGTACCCTAAAAATAATCAAACCATATTCCATGAAAAAGGTCTGGGAGCTATTTCTGTAGCATTTTTAGCTTTTTGTGGTAGTTTGGGGTATTTTTTATTTTTCGTCGAAAATCCCCCCCTGTAGGGGGACAGGCCCGACATAACACTTGCTGTTCCCCTATAGTCCTCGCCGAGGAGGCATGCATACGCCCGAGCGATGCCAAGTGGGAAGGCAGGAGGGCCTCTCAGAGGGGGCGGCGAGGACGAGCATCGCTTCACCGACCCTCGTCCCCGTGGGCGTGGCCTGGGCCCCAATGCCAGAGTTACCCCCGCAGATGGGGATGTGGGCTGCTTCCTTGGGGGTTCGAGGGGCATACACCCACCTTGGGTGCTGAGATGGTGGGGTCTGGATCGCAGCGGGGATGGGGATGGGGATCGGTCAAACGATGCCGCGAAGAGGGCCTCTTGGAGCACCAGGGGGGGGTTGGACCATCCCAAGAGGCCAGCCCGCCCCGCCCGTCTGCGAGCCCCGCCGGCCTCAGCAGCCCGCGGCTGCGCGGAGGAGTTGCGCAGCAGCCGTCGTCCGCCCTCGCTGCTGGGCCTGCGGCCCTGCACCAGGTACGCCCACTGCATCCTCGTGGCCTTCTCCTTGGCCCTCTTGGAGACGCCCCCCTTGAAGGACATGCACGACGGCATCTCGAGGTCGAGTCCGGCAGAAGCGGCATAGTCGTTGTCCACGTAGCCTCCCGCTTCCGCGCAGCCCCCGCTGCCAGCAGACTCGTCCTGGCACTTCGTGGCATCCCAATCGCTAATCACGATGCCACGGAAACCCATGATCTCCTTCAGATGCTTGTTCAAGATATCGTCGTTCGCGCAAGCATACGCCGCCTCCCCTGAACACAGCCCCGAAGTGCACTTGACCAAGTTGTAGGAGCACATGACTCCCGACACTCCTGCCTCCACGGCAGCTGCGAACGGAGGGTAGTACACCTCGAAGAGAGTCCGCTCGTCCACGGTCTCGGTCATCCCCTGGCGGTCGTTCTCGATCGTGTTGGGGATGAAATGCTTCACGGTCTGTAGCGGAGGGTGCTCGACCTGCCGATACGCAGCCACCATCGCTCGGACCATCTCGGCGCCGAAGTGCGGGTCCTCGCCGGCCATGTACTCGCCGAGCCTGCCGTTCCACGCGAAGCGGGCCAGGTTCACGCCCGGCCCCAGCTGCCCTCGGCTGGCGCGACCGAACTCCTCCGCGAGCTCGATGGACCAGCGGGCCACGAGGTCGACGTCCCAAGAGGCCGAGACAGTCATGGCGCTGGGCCAGCAGGGGGAGCGGCCCTGGTCCCACTGGTCGCACTGGGGCCCATCTCCTGCTGGCGGCTCCCCCCAACAAGAGACAGCACAAGCGCGTCGTGCTGCGCAGAGCCCCGTCCATCCGCCCTTCCCCCCCTCCGGTCCTCCAGCCCGTGAGGGGAAAGGGGTGAAGTGGTGGTGTCGAAAATTGTTGCCCCGGGGTCTCCCCAATTGCCAGCGCCGCAAACAAAAGCCTCGTTGTGGACGTAGTCCATGCCCTTCACAGCCTCCTCTGCTTCCTGCAGCTGGGCGCCAAAACTACACCCACACCAGCCCTGATCCAGCTCGCCCACGGTGCCAGCAGGGCGTCATCAACTCACCAATTAGACCCGATGACACCGTGACGCTTGACGGACACCAGGTAGCTGCACGATGGCCCTGGGGACGCGCCTCGGGGCTCACTTGGGGACCTTGAGGGCTGTCTTGGAGTCCCGGGCTGTTCCCTCAGGAAGAAATAACCGACCAACATCACTCGATGCTGCATGATCGTAACGCTGCTGAACTTTAAGAACGCCCGCGACTGCCCGATTAGGCGCTCAAGGCGCCCTCCCCAAGAGGCCCCCAAGAATTGCCACAAGAAGAACCCAAGAGGGGGACCCAACGAAGCCAAGCCTCCTAGACACCTCAAGGGGAGCCCAAAGCAAGCCGCCTCGAGTCATCAAAGAGGACCCCAGAACGTCGCAAACGGCTATACTATTCCATCAAGAGATCCACCAACAGACCCAGAAAGAGTCCACGAAGCCTCTGCTTTACAATTAACGTACGATGGTTGGCCAGGCGTTACCACTAGAAGCGTATACACAAATCCGCCGACCCTGTCGGCGTATGTGAGACGTTTTTCCGTTTGAGTCGTCGTCGTTGTCATTGTCGCCGCTCCACGTTTTCCGTTTTCGTTTTCGTCGTCGTCGTGGTCGTCGCCAACGTCGTCGTTGCCACTCTTCCCCTTTCCCTGGGCCCTCCTCCTCAGGCGATCCAGCCAGACAGAAACCAAACAACCCCGCAGTCGAGTCGAAGAGCAGCCCCATCCCTTCCCCGCGGGGTGGGGGGATCCCTGGGGTGTCCCAGAAAGGGTCGCTGCGGGGGCCAGAAAGATTCTGCACCACTAGAAAACAAAAAAGAACTGCTCGACTCCACTGGCGACCAGTCGAGTCGCCCAGTCGGAAAACCGGCGAGTCGGCCAGTCGGGGAGTCGGCCAGTCGGCCTGTCGGCCAATCGGGGAGTCGGCCAGTCGGCCAGTCGGCCAGTCGGGGAATCGGCCATTCGGCCAGCCGGCCAAGCATTCAGTCAACGAATCGGCAAGTCGGCCATTCGGCCAGTCGGCCAATCGGGGAATTGGCCAATCGGCGAATCGGTCAGTCGGCAAGTCGGGGAAACGGCCAGTCGGCCACTCAGGCAACCGGGCAGCCGGCAACTCGGCCAATCGGAGACTCGGCCAATCGGGAGTTGACCAAACGACCAATCGGCCAGTCGGGGAGTCGGCCAGTCAATCAATCGGCCACTCGCCCAGTCGGGGAAAGGGCCAGTCGGGGAATCGGCCAGTCGGGGCGTCGGCCACGTCGGCCAGTCGGGGAAGCGGCCAATCGACTAGCCGGCCAAATCGGCAAATCGGCCAGGCGGCCAGTCCAGGAATCGGCCAGTCCGCCAGTCGGCCAATCGGAGCGTCGGTCAGCCGGCCAGTCGGCCAGTCGGGGAATCGGCAAATCGGCCAGACGGCCAAGCGGCCAATAGGCCAATGGGACAATCGGCCAGTCGGCCAGTTGAAGAATGGGGCAGCCGGGGAGTCGGCCAGTCGGGGTGTCGGCAAGTCGGCCAATCGGGGAGTCGGCGAATCGGCCATTCGGGGGGTCGGCAAGTCGGGCAGTCGGCCACTCGGGGAATCGGCCATTCGAGGGGTCGGCCAGTCGGCCAGTCTGCCACACGGCCAGTCGGCCAGTCGTGGTCCCCCCCGCTTTCCCTTTAAGGCGGCCGAAGAGAGCCCCACAGAGTCCAAAGAGGGGGGACGCCAACCGAGTCGAAGCGAAGGCCCTCGATCCCTTCCCCGCCGGGGGCGAGGGGAGGGAGGGGGACGGTCCTGGGAGGGGATCGCCGGGGACGGTCCCCAGGGGGAGGGGGTCCGAGGCAGGGGCGCCCCAGGGCAAACAGGGCACAGGGGCCCACGCGAGGGGGGCCAGCGAGCGTCGTGAGGGTCGGCGGCACCAGCCGTGCCCGTCGGTCGGAAGAAGTGGGCAGAGGCATGAAGGAGGAAGGCGTTGGAAAAAGGTTGGGCTTGAGCCCGTCACCTGAAGAGGGGGAAAGAAGGTAAACGCTCGATCCTTGAAGTAGGAAGGCGCCGGAAGTATACTGGAATATGGGAATCCATCCAACGACTGGCGCGTTGGGCCTTCACAAGGCTGGGGCCAGAGTTGGCCTGGCGAGGATCGTTCCCGTCCTCCTCCCCCCTCTTCCCAGTCCTCATCCCAGTCCTACTCCTCCTCCTCCTCCTACTCCTCCTCCTCCTCTTGAGCCTGTCGCTGTCGGCGTCGGAGTTGCTCAGGGGGTTCATCATCTCATCCCATGTCTTCTCCTCCTCCTCCTCCTCTTCTTCCTCCTCCTCTTCTTATTATTATGCTTATTTTTCTTCTTAATAATATTATTATTATGATTATTATTTCTCTTTCTCCTCCTCCTCCTCCTCCTCCTCCTCCTCCTCCTCCTCCTCCTCCCAGTCCTGCTCCTCCCAGTCCTGCTTCTCCTCCTCCTCCTCCTCCGAGCCCCAGGACTGTGAGGAGGACGGGCGTGGAGCCCGTGCCCCCCAGATCCTGCCAGAGCGAGTCCCCGAGCTCCCGCGTGTAGGGCGGCAGCGCGCCCCCCGCCAGGCGCAGGAGCGCGAGACTCCACGCGAAGCTCGATGCCGCCATGCCGTAGAGGCCACCCTTCGGGCCTGCAGCCTTGGCGGGCCCTGGGAACGACAGGGCCATCTTTTCGACGCTTCCGTTCTGCCGTTTCTGTTGCCCGCTCCGACGCCGTCTTTTCATACTGCTTCCCGTCGCCGTCTGTTTACCGGTTCCGGCTCCCGCTCCAAGCCCGGAGTCGTCGTTGGTGCAGTGTCCTGTCGCCGTGTTGTCCTGCCGTTGCCACGCTCAGGACACTCTTTCGGCAACAATGGAAACAACTGCCCTGCCGTCTCCGGATCCCACTGCGGCTGCAGCCAACCTGACGGGTGGAGATAAAAAACTCGGCCGATGCTTCCGACTGGAGGGCTTCCACCGGGACGGTCCTGGACCAAAAAGGCTTCGGCGAGCACCGGCTGTGGAGGGCACGACGAGGGAGGGTGAGGGGGAGACAAGAGGAAAGGGAGCAGACCGTGGGGGGAACGGGCACCGCGAAAGAGGAGCAAGGCAGTGGACGAGGGAAATCGAGCAGGGGCAGGAAAGGAATGCCAATTGAAATTGCTGCCTGTCCGGGTCGCAGACGGCTTTGGCGACGGAATCCCCCCTCCGAGGGCACCCCAAAGGATGACCTGCCGCTCGATCGGCACCGAGGCTGTAATTGCAGGGGGCGGGCGCAAGGGAAACGCAAACTGAGGTAGGACGCGAGGAGAGAGCAATACAGTAGAAGCTGAAAAAGAAAAGAACGAGCACCTAGCACGTGGTTCAACAAACGATTGCTTGACACAGTTATTGATCAGTTCCTCTCCTCGTCGCCATGGACATCGTCATCGACCTGGTCCTCCTGCTCTTCCTCCTGCTGCTGCTGCTGCTCCTCCTCCTCCACCGACCATCCTCCCTTCTTCCCCTGCCACCACCCTTCTCTCCCTCCCCGCCTCGCCGTCCAGCACCCCCCCCTGCCCCTCTGCACCTCCCCCCCCCTTCCTCCTCCCGTTCCCACTCCAATCCTCCTCTCCAGTTCCTCCTTGTCCTTCCCACCCACCCACCCCATCCCCCCATCCTGAAAGAACTTGCTTTCCCCGCCGAATTAGCCGTCAGCCACCCCGTCGGCATCCTCCAGAATCTAGATGGGCCTTCTTCGCTGCTGCGGCACAAATGGCCTGTCGCCTAATTAATTGCAAGCGACAGAGCACATGTCCTACTCTCCCTCAACGCCTCAGACCCCCTGTGCCCGTGCATTCGTCCCCCCCGTCTGCGTGGACGTTCCCCTTGTCCTGCTCCTGCTGCTCCTTTTCGTCCTGGATCTCCCCCATTCCGCGAGGCGGAGCCTCGAAATGGAAACACGCAGCCAGAAGGAGCGAAGAGTGCTTGAGCCAAAATGGCCCACCCCAACCTATGTCTTCGCGTTGCGGCCGGACCTCGGACAGGACGACCTCCTTCAAGCTCGTGAGACCCTCCGCCGGCCGGACTGAAGAGCATGTGAGAATACCCTCCCCCAGGACGCACAATAATATTCCACTAACACGAAGAGCATCAAGGCACCCTCGTCGAACCGACCTCGATCTTATACCGCGGTCCGACCGTACGGAACACTCTCTCTCGCCCACCCCCACCTCTGTCTTCGCGCTATGACCTGAGTAACCTCTGGGTGCTCCGTCCCAAAACAGTCCAGCGAGTTCCACTACTCGCGAAGTAACTACTTGCAAGTGGTCCCGATCCGCCGCGGGGGGGGTCTACGATCCATTACATCGAGGCGAACGTGTGTATGTTTTCGGACGTTGGCAAGCTGGCACTTGGCGAGCAGTGTGGCACGCGCTCGGTCCCGAAACCACCCCCCAAACGCCTCCCAGGGTGCGCTCCCAGCGCGACTCCGGGGGGCGGACACGAACCGAGGCGACGAGGGTCCGACAGGAGGCACCCCCCAGAATGCCAGGAGCGACGCCATCCTGAGGACGGCGGCGAGCCCAGGCAGGGAGAAGGAAACGCACCGCCACCACCGCCACCACCACCACCACAACTTGGAGGATGGATCGGCGGCGAGCGAGGGGGGGAAGGCGGCGGGGCTTCTGAGATGCCTCGGCCTTCTGCGAGGTTCTCTGTGCCTGTGGGGAAGCTTCGCACACTCCTTAGAAGGCTGGGGGACTTCCGAGCCCCCTGGGAAAGCCCGCCACTTCTCACTTCCCCCCCCGGGCTCGCCGCCGAGAGGAGGCAGAGCGTGGTCAGGGATGGTGGTTGTGGCGGGGGGGGTGTATCGTTTCGGAAACTCCCGCGGGACATTGTGCACATCCGTATCCCGCACACCAGTTCATCCTGAATCCCCCGAAGGGGTGGTGGCAGTGCTCCTCCTGCTCCTCAACAGGGGGGAAGGCACCAGGGGGCGGGCCTTCTCAGAATGCGCAGAAGTCCCCGGCATTCTGAGAAGCGTTCTGAGCCTTCTCTGAAAGCGTAGGTGGCCTCTCAGGAGGCCGTGGTGGCAGTGCTCATCCTACTCCTCACCAGGGGGGAAGGCACCAGGGGGGCGGGCCTTCTCAGAATGCGCAGAAGTCACCAGCATTCTGAGAAGCGTTCTGAGCCCCTCCGGAAGCGCAGGTGGCCTCTCAGAAGGCCGAAGGGCCTCGGAGCAGCCCCGCCGCCTCGTGCGAGTCGCTTCCCCCCCTAGGCTCGCCGCCGATGAGGTGCACCCCCCGCCTGGCCCCTCCCCCCGCCCCCTGAGGGGACACCTCCTCCTCCTGACCCGCTCCTCCTCCTTCGGCGGGGGACAAACCTCCCGTTCGTAGACCTCCCCTTAATGAAAACGGCCTGGGACCGAAACCGGCGGACCTGGACCCGCAAAGATGACGGCCGCGACGCCCCCTCGCGAACCGAAAACGGCCAATTCCTGAGTCGACGTGTCAGGGTAGGAGGCCTGTCAACCTCCGACTCCTCGTGCTGCCGTGCAGGAGATGATAAACGCCCTCTGACCTTGCGCGGCAGGAGCTCGAGCCGTGGGCGGAACTTCGGAGGGCCTACGACCGCTCACCCCCGTCCGCTCCCCGAAGGCGCCCACAGTCGGCCTGCTCTGCCTAAGATTGAGCCCCACCAGGTCAGGCAAACCACTGTAATAAATTCAACACTAGGACTGCTGTTGGACCTTCGAAGGTAGCCCCGAGAGCGCTCCAGCACCTCTCGAATGCCGACGCTGGCAGAGCTTGCTTCTTTATAATAATTGCGAACACCTGCTGGGTTGGCCGAACGATCGTGTTGTTACCGAGCTTGTCAGACTGGCCAAACCAGACGGTGGAACGCGACTCATCACTTTAATCATCACCCTGTGTAGGCTCTGGGGAAAGATCAGGCAGCCCCTCACTGCCGCGTGGCAAGAGGAGAATGCTTCCTGTGAGCTCTGGGGAACCCAGAAGGGCCGAAGCTCGACCGACAGCGCGTTCGCGCACAATTTGGGCGCCGAAAAGTCGGCCCTTCTCGGCGAGATTTCAATCACAGTGCTGCCCGACATGAGTAGATGTTTCGAGATGGTTCTACCCGCCCGAATGCTGCGTGAGGCGATTGAGCTGAATTTCCTGTCCGACTGGCTTGGATGCTCATCTACCTATACCGACAGCCCAGGCGGCTGAAAGCATTCGGGTGCGTGTCAGTGGCTGTGCAGGCTTTTCAAGGCATCCTAGCAGGATGTACGCATGCCACAAGGGTTCTACACCTCCTCACTCTGCGTGCTGTTAAGAGGCTTTGTGTAGTAGCCCCATGCATCACGCCAAGGGCCCTGGTGGACGATGTTTCGATACAGCTCAACACGGACGCCAAGGCCGACATACAGCTCCTCGAGAAAGCAGTTCGCATCTTCACCTACGATGCCAAGGGGCTGGGGCTCCACGCGCAGCCCAAGAAGTCAGGGATCGTCACTAGTACGGCGCACTCTAGAGTGCTCTTCATTAGGAATGCCAAGCGGTTGGCCCTGAAGTTCCGACCTTGGGTGCTTCACTTGGGCCACGAGCTGTCGGCGATGAAAGTCAGGCGCTACCAAGAGAAGGCCAGAGTCAAGGCCCTCCAGCAGCGCAAAAGGAAGTACCTCGCCCTCAAGGGCAACACTGACCGTCGTGCTGCCAAGCTCTGGAGGACAGGAGCCCTTCCTGCAGCTGGCCATGGAGCTGGCGTGGCCAGCGTGTCAACACACATCTCTCAGACATTTTCGGAACTTTGCCTCGGTCCTTGATGGAGGCAAACCACACGGAGGAGCCACTGCCTACTTCATCGCCGACCCAGACGCGCGCGACGACCCCATCTTCGACTGCACTCTCGGCATCACGGTCAGGTACGCAATATGGCTATGGGACTCACGGTTTTGCCCTGGGCAAATTGCAGCGAGCTTGGAGTCAGCTTGCACACGTCATGCAGTCGAACACAACATGGCAAAAAGGGCGAGGGCCCATCTCCAGCACCTGGCGTTCGCTCATACGCATAGGCTGGACCATGGCGAACGTGAACACCTCGTGGACGACGAGGGCAATCACATCAGCTTGCTCCAGTGGTGCCCGAACGACGACAAGCTGGTCCTCATCAGGGGCATTGAGCGCTGGCAGCACAGCAGGCTGCTGCGACACATGCCCACCCCTGACGGCAGCGAGGTCATCTGGCATCGTGCGCTCAGGAATGGAGTGCGCAGCATCGCGTGCCCGAAGCAGTCGGGAGCGCTCTCCGCAGTCTGGGCCAACGTAGTTCCTCTCCCTGCTGCGCGTGCTGCCCAGGGCTACCTGGTAGCGCCCCACTGCCGAGAGTGCCAGCACGAAAATGGTACCTACGGCTTGCCACATATGGTACCAATGCAGTGGGCGGATTGACGGAGGCCAGGACACCCATGGGGAGCCTGTGCCCGAGCTTTGTATGAGCCATCGCCAGACCCTGCTTCAGGCGAGCCTAGACATCACGGCACAGCCGCAGGCTGACACTATGTATGTATGGCCGCCCTTCGTTCTCCAATACCATAGACATTCTGGCCCCCCAACTCAATCCTGCTGTTGGTGAGTGGGGGGGACGCTCCAGGAGTTTGGCGG